TGAATAAATCTTTAAAAACAAAAAAAGAAGAGGCCCTCCGGGTGGTGCAGCAGGTCAAAGCACAGCAGAAAGAAGCAAAAGCCACTTCAGCATGAGTTTGAACCCCACCTCTAGCCCTAGAGGTGACCACATGGCGCCCAGAGGTGACCACATGACCCGTCCGCTGCTCCCCTCAAGCAGTGTACTTCATTGATCTGCCTGTTCTGCTCCCCACTGTGTCTCTGGTGAATCCTCTGACCTGCACCTCTGGCCTGTACCCCAGTTCTGTATGTATAAATAAATCTTTAAAAAAAAAAAAAAGAAGAAAGCTGGGGCCTCCCTGGTATGCAAGGGGTGAAAGCACAGCAGTAGTAGTTCAATCTCTGGCCAGGGAGGTGACCCACATGGCACAGCAGATCTCTCCTGTCTGGCCCACTGCTCAACAGTGTATTTCAGTAGGTCTGCCTGTTCTGCTCCTCACTCTATCTCTGGTGAATCCTCTCACCCCCTGCACCTCTGTCCTATACCCCAGTTCTTGCATGCATAAGTAAATCTTAAAAAAAAAAATAAGAAAGCTACTTACCTTCACTGCTTGCTGGGTTTGCTCAGACAATTTTACTTCATTATCTTCCACCTGTTTCCAAAAAGAATATGGCTTTTTAGATTACTACTTCAAGGGCAAAACTCAGCTAGTTTTCCCTATGTTCAGATATTTCCAGGAAACTAACTGGCCAGTTATTCTACCAAATCCAGTGCTCTCAGCTTCTGACAGCTGGCAATTGGCTCTTGGTAATCAGATTCCAAGGTCATGGTAGGTTGTCTTACTAGGACCCAAGAGCCACTTAAATGAGCCCATGATATGTGGAAATAGAAGTCTCCATTTATATTTCACTTCAGGGGAAAAAAGGACTACTTTTTTTAGGGATAAAAGAAATAGAACATATTAAATATTTTCAGTGTGTTCTCATTTAAACATGTTTTATCAGAGGATAACTCATCCTTCCCTATCCATATCAGAATTGAGAAAAGACTACAAGCAGATTCTAAAATAAGTAGGCCATTAGCAGATTCACTGCAATTAGACTTTTCTGGGTCCCAGGCACCAGGAGGTTCAGGCTAAGTTCCACTGATGAAGATGGCACCTTTCTAAATGTAGAGGCACTGTTGTTAAAACCCAACAACCACCTTTCTGACCAGAGAAGGGAGCCACACAATCCATTCTTTACTTTCTGTGTGACCTTGGCCAGGCTGAGCCATTTCTAAACCTGCTCCTCATCTGTAAAATGAGGATGCTAATCTATTCCTTTCACAATTTAATAGAAGCCCAGCTAATTTAGTTCTTTTCTTTTGGAGCTTTTCCAAGAATTGAAAGCATTAAAGAAACTATTTGTTTGTATCAAAAGAAAGAAATTAAAAAAAAAAAATCCATTCCTGAACAACAGCTAGTTCAGGATCTGACACCCCACTAAGGTACCCAATGAAGAAGCTCTTCCTCAAATGTTCTTGATTTCTCCATGCTTATGTCCACTTCTGCCTGATAATGACACTAACCAGCCAGGAGCAGAATCTGGGGATGGCGGCTGTCAGGACTACGGAGCTGGTTTCTGTAGTAACAGTGCCATCTGCAGGAAGACCACAAAGAAGCAGGTTACTGTCCACCACCTGAGTCAACCTTGCAGACCCAGATCACCAACACCTTCTATTTTCAGGTTCCTCTTGTTATCAGAGAGTCAGAGTTAGGCATCTGGAAACAGGGGGTAATAACGAGGGATTGGAGAATGGTTTCCTCATGATTAACTTTATCCTTTTTACAACAAATAAAAACATTTACATGAAGACTTCTGGGGACTAGTCCTTTTTTGGTTTTACTTTTAATTTTTTATCAAGGTAGGACAGGTGTACATCAAAAAGAATATTATCGGGTTCTCCTACCACAACTGGATATTATCGTTCTATAGAGTTTTCTGCTAACATAATGGCGGTGGGAAGAGAGGAGGAACTGATCTAATCATTGTTTTTTTTAAGATTTATTTATTTATGCATACAGAACTAGGGAACATGCCAGAGGTGCAGGTGATGAGAGGATTCACTGTAGACAGAATGGGGAGCAGAACAGGCAGACTGATGAAGTACACTGCTGAGGGGAGAGTAGCAGGCGGGTCAGGAGAGGTCTGCTGCGCCAAGTGGGTCACCTCAGGGTGGGGGTTGAACTCACACTGAGGTAGCTTTAGCTTCTTAATGCTGTGCTTTAACCTACTGCGCCACCAGGGAGAGCCCTAATCATTGTTTTAAATGGCTTCTTGACTACTAATAAGGGTTTACATATTTGTATATATGTGTACATGAAGACATATAGACAGATAACATAAATATGTATTTTATCTGGTGAACAGTGTATTCATAATTTTTGCTCGTTTTACCCCTGGATAGCTTGTGGTTTTTGTTTTATTATTACTATTAACTTGTAAGAGCTCTTCATAAATCTGTATATATTTCCCTTAATTATAAGTGTTCTGATACTTTCATCAGTTTACTGTTGACCTTTGACTTAGTTTTGGTTTATTTTGTCCAAAAAACCCCAAAACGTTCAAATTTGCTTTCCAAAGGTGGCATACACTTACCTTTTTCTTTAACCATGATCTGAGATGTCAAAAACGATTCTGAGAAGACCACAGATCCTAAGCATCCCCTTCCTCCCAGCAAGTCAGGAATGTCATAGACAGTCATACAAGCCTGTATCAAATGAGAAGCCTGAGTCAGACCAGTTAACAGTCCTAAATCTTTACAGAGCGACCCCCTAAGAAACAGATCACAAAATCTTGCTTTCGGTTACACAGCAACAGAGAACCGTAAAGCTTTAGCATGGGAGATCCATTATATTATATTATCCTATCCTATCCTATCCTACCCTACTCTATCCTATCCCAGCTCAAAACTGGGAGATGAATTCAGGATCACCCAGGCAGCAGGCAAGCATTTGCTAAATCATCCACACCAGCCCAACCAGTTCCCTATGACCAAAAGCTCACTGAATTATGGGTTAGGCAGTAGCCACAGAACTGATTTGAGTATAACTTGAGTCTGTCCACACATACAACTAGAATGCTGGCTGGATATCCACCATTCACTTCCCCTGTTTTTCTCCAGAGGTTTGCTAACAGTCTGAGGGTACTCAGTAAAGTGGCTTTGTGGTGAAGGGTTGGGGCGCTACGTGGTGGGTTGGATTTGGGAGACTCTTCTTCCATTGCGTATTATAGTTCCTTGTTCCTCCCTCCAGTTACAGGTACACCCAGACCTGGGAATGGGAGGTGGTCTGCCCTGGAAAAGCTGGGTGGCCTAATAAACAAAGCCTTGAGGAGAGGAGAACGGAATGACTCTGGGAGCAAGTCTCTACAGTAACAGAGAATACCCTCTGCCTGGGCAGCTACCATTACACGCCCAGCTGTGTGCAGAGGGCTTCTTCACATCAGGACACACTGGGGTGAAATCCAAGATGAAGCTAATGACTAGGAGACTTAGAAACTCTGGCTTTCCCAGGCCTAGCCATCCTATCCCAAGGACCAGTATTTCTGCATCTCTAAGCCTTCCCCTGGCCCATCAATGTGCTCTCTGCACATGGGTCAGAAAGCTCTGCTCTGAATACTCCACTGGAGACTGAGGTCCCTGGTTAATTTGTCTGTTTATTTTCACAGGCTCTGTTAAGGACATCAACATAGGTGTTGAAATATAGAGAAGCTGTTGAAAACTCATCACTCTGTGTGGAGCTCAGAGTGATCTCAGTCACATGGGGGAAACTTTCCTCAGTCTAGGAAGAGGTATATATCCCCTCCTCCCACCCTCAGCTAGAACTCTGGACCTGGGAGAGTTTAGGCATGAAGTAGGAACATACGGTACTGGCAGAGGCTCAACAATGCTATTATTGGACAGTTTTCTCAGTGAAGGGGCAGGCTGCACAAGACTCCTGCCTCACCCCTTGTACATGTGTCTCTAAGACAATTCCCTGTCAGCTGATGTGTAACAACTTTGCTTACCGTTTTCACAAAGTATAAGCTATCCTCACTGTCCAGAGGCACAATTCTAGAAAAGAGATAGGATTTGTTTTTTAAATACTCTTTTATTTTCCAACTCAGCAGCAACCCACAGACCCAAATTTCTCTAAGGAATTTGTAAACCAGAGCTACATGTATGTCAAACTAGTAGGTACATTACTTTGATGAAATTACGGCCATCCTCTGCCCCTGTTCCTGAGTCTTTTGGTTGGAAGCATTAAGAAGTGGGGCTTAGCTTAGCACAGGCAGCCTTGGTTAGTCTTTGAGCCTGGAGTGATGTCACTGCCAGATGTGTAACTGTGAGACGCCTCCGGGCCACTAGTTATAAGGTAACCTCTCTTTTTTTCTCTCTCCATAAACTTGCCCCAAATTTGGATACAACACAATGATGTACTTACCTTCCCTGATTATTCACAGCGTGTATATGAAAAGACATCTTGGAACTGTAGAACCAAAACAGAACAAAATATAAGTCAGTCTGCTCTAGCTGAACACTGGCTTGGTGTCCTCCCCAGACACCTGCCACTGTAGGGCACCTTGATGGGTCCTTACAGTACCAGTGTGGTACCTTACATTTGCATCTGAGCTAGGGTCCCACGACATAGGCAAGTGTGGGACCAGTTGCCATGTCTAAATCCTGTCATGGCACAGCCTTTTAGGCATATTCTCAGGGATGCCTGGACTCTTGACAGAGCAGGAAAGACCCATGTGACAGACTGTTTTTCACTAGTCAGGGCCTATGGCCTTGACGTACTGTCCTGACCTTCCTCTTCTTTACCCCCTCTGAGTCTAGCTATTATCTTGACTTCAATTCAGTCTTTGCTACCCACACACAACTGCTGTGGAATCATGGGTAGGGTTAGGCCTTCGAGTCCAGAAGTAGCCAGAAAATCCTTTGCACTTCAACTCTTTCTGTAAAGAATTTCTAAATCATGTACGTTTAATTTCTTGCTTTAGCAAGTACTGGGTGGTGTCATCTAAATTCCTGTGTTCCTCCAGCAAGATCTGCTAACATGATATACTCCCTGAAATCACTTTGTGGAGAAAAGGGCTACAGATCTAGGTGGAGGACTGGTACTAGGAGACTTCACTTGCATGGCCTACTATTTTCTCTTGCTGTTTCCTCCAGATATTGTGTCGACTCCCAGCACTCTGAGGCTGTGGGATTGAGGGATGGCCCACCCTAGACAGGTTAGGTGGCCTCCTAAGCAAGGACATGAGGAAAGGTGGAATAGAATGACCATGTTAGCATGTCAAAGGCAACAGAGAAGACCCTAATGCAACAGCAGCTACCATTTATGTATTCAATCATGCTACATGGTGGGGAGATGAGGAAACAATTGCACAGAGATCTCCCTATTTTGACCAAGGTCATACTGCTGGGAAGCCAAGGAATAGCCCCAAACACAGGTCCCCAGGGACAGGCAGTGCAAGGCCTAAAGGGAACAAACTTTCCCTCTCATGGCCAAAACTACAAGTCCTAAAAGACTCAGAAAAAGAAGACCTAAAGCAAACTTATAGCTTTGAGTTCTGCTCTTTCCTTCTCTCCTGGAGCTGCAGCAATAGAATTCTTGTGAGACAACTGGACTGACTAATCTTTCTAAATGCTCCTTCTCACTACTTAGGGTCATACATTTAAGAAAATGTGGGGCAAGGAGCTAAGGTACCATAGGCATAATTGAGAAAGCTTCTTAAAGAAATTTCCCAGTAATAGTGTCTCTTGTTTCTTGGAGAAAAATGCACCAGGAGGTCATATGGAGACAGCAGGTTAAGTGGACTATGTTCCTGAAGGTTTGAAGGTTTGGCTGTGGCCAAAGACCACACAGAAACTGAATGCACTATGCTAGGAGACATGTGAGGTTAAGAATCCAAACTCCTACACTCTGAACCCTGAGACATGGCCAGACTGAGTTTCTACACCTGAAAGGAAGATGAGGCCCAGAGCAAGTCTCTTCTCCCCAGGTGTCTTCAGGTGATCAGGGCCTCTGACTCCAACAGGCCCTGACATTCATGAGCTTCACCTTTCTATTTTCTGAACTGGAGATTGTCAGTCTTGGAGGTTTTGGTATTAATCTGTCTCCCATTCCAGCCTCAGCATGTTTCTGATATTCTCTTTGGGTTCCTCTACCTTTGGCTCCTTGGCCTTGCAAATAAAGCTCTTATCATGAATGATTCTCTTTCTGTGGTTTCACCAGCACATTTTCTCAAAAGACAGAATGTAACTCAAAAGCGAGAAAAAGATTTTTAAAAAACAAACTTTAAAATAATTCCTTGCAGACTTTAAAAATGACTCTAAAGTAAGTCACTGCTTACCGTAGGGCTGCCTTAAACTGCATCAACTCAAAGGAATCTAACCCGGATCCCAGGGCCTGTTCTGCTACCTCCTTGGCCTGTAACAACAATCAAAAAACAGCAACAATTAACATTCACAAGAAAGGGAACACATCATTGACAGAGAAGCCCTCCTAACATTTGGCCAGAACACTTACCCCTCTTCTCTACGTGATCACTTTGAATATATAAATAGATAATAAGTGAAAACACTGTATTAAGAAAAACAGGTGCCTGTTTCTTCAGGCTGGGCTCACAGGAAACACTTTATTCAGGCAGGTGGGCACTAGAAGTTGATCTACCAGTCAGAGGTGACCAGCTAGGATGGTGTCATTGTGAGATCTAGGAAAGGGCTTTCTTTTCCCCTCTTCCCTGGCCCTGCGGGAGAGTCCACAGAATTTCTGCTACTCAAATAGCTAGTCACAGAAGATGAGCAAAACACCTTTTTGTACTTGGTCTTGAAGGATCAGTAAAACTGACATTGTTTTACATATGTTTTCAGCTAAAGGGTTGAGAAATCCCACTTCAGTACCAGATTTGAGTTCAATGAGGAGGGGAGATGGCAAGGAGCTGGTGACTACAGCTACAATCTGTCGTATCTACGTCATACACAACCTTTCCAATGTCAAATGGCTTCCTTCAGGAAAGGTCCTATTGGCATTGGGAGGCATCAAGCCGACTCTTCTCATCTCCTTATTGGGTCAGATATAGGAATTCAACTCAGCAGAGCAGGTTAACCGCAAAACAGCAAGGAAGATAATGGTCAGAGAACAAGAACACGTGCTTGTCTAGGAAAGGCAAGTCAGATCTTCTAATCTTCAGCTGTTTGTTTTTTTTTAAAACACTGAATTATAGGAAATCAAACCTGTAGCTCAAAACAAACTTACCTAACTATTAAAATTCACAGTAATACCTGTATTTTTCTTTTTCTTTCTTTTATTTTTTTAGTACCTGTATTTTTCATAACTTAAATAAAAATTTACTTATGCATACAAGAACTCAGGTGTAGGCCAGAAGTATGGTGGGTGAGAGGATTCAGCAGAGACAGAGTGGGGAGCAGAACAGGCCATCTACTGAAATCCACTGCTGAGGGGAGCAGCGGGGAGACAAGAGAGGACTGCTGTGCCATGTAGGTCAGCTCCCTGGCCGGGGATCGAATTCATCGAATTCATGCTATAGTGGCTGCCAATAGGTAGAAAGTGCTGAGACTTAACCTCTTGTGCCAGCAGGGAGGCCTCAGTTTTTAACTTCTAAAAGCCTTAAAAAAAAACTATTAAGTAAAATAGTATGACTGCAACTCGGTCACAGGCTGCACAAGCTCAGTGCTCTGAAGGCATCTCTTTGTCTGATGCCAATGCCATGAGGCCCAGGCTCACACAAAACTGAGTACCACAAATGACCAAAGGAAAAAACAGATGCATAGGAAGTCTTACATTAAAATAATTACTAGTACCAAGAGAGAAACATGGTATATAAATTACCTTTGTTAGACTGGAAGTTTTAGCATAACATGCAATGCCAGCCAAAACAGCCTCAATAACAGCAGCATATACCTGAGATAAGAGCCTACTTTAAAAACAAAAAAATAGGGTTAACTACAGCATCACAAGGTTTCATCAAAAGCTGCATGCATATAAATAACATTCCCTTATAAGCTGATTTTTAAATAGAATGAGAAAGTGATAAATGACTGAACCTCTGAAAAACCTCTGAAAAGCCATGTGCTCCACCTGACTTACACTTTGCTCTTGCTAAACCATGATAAGAAAAGTCAGTTCTTCCTAATTCTGCTTAAAAGACCAACCCTCTCGGTTCATGGTCCAGGAGGAGAGTGGTGGGCCCCTCACTGCTCTGTGTGCAGGAGCAGCTCCTAGGGACCCAGAGTCCTTTCAGGGCCATGTCACAGACTCGCCCCTTTTTCAGAAACTGACCCCACCACACCTTCCTGTCATCTCCACCTCAGGTCTGCTTGTAATAAAGACTAGGGGCTACTGGAACCTCAGGTGGCAGATCTCAGGGGCCAAAACAAATTACTTGACTGCGAAGAAATCTCAGTTGGGTGCCACTGCATTCATATTAACAGCTACTGGTCATGATCCAAGCTGCTTGCCTGATCTTATGAAGAGAGGCTTCTTTGTGTGGAGGTTTCTCAGACTGCTAAACATGGAGCTTCCATATGACCCAGCAATCCCACTCCTAGGTATCTACCCAAAACACACAAAAACACTGATTCAAAAAGATACCTGCACCCCTATGTTTACTGCTGCTCTATTTACAATAGGAAAGACATGGAAACAGCCCAAATGCCCAAAAGTAGATGGCACATATACACAATGGAATATTACTCAGCAACCAAAAAAGATAAACTCATGCCTTTTGCAGCAACATGGATGGAGCTGGAAGGGATCGTGCTTAGTGAAATAAGCCAGAAAGAAAAAAAAAATACCAGATGGTTTCACTCATAGCAGGAGCATAAAGCACTGGGGTAAAAAGTAAAAAGCAATTGTAATAAAGAACAAAAAACAATGAACAACTATGTATCAGAGACATTTTACGGGAATGGTGTGGGGAATGGGATCAAAAATGGGGTGTGAAAGGTGCATGGGTCTATCGTGATGGCACATGGGTGAAATGGTGGTGGAAAGTCCACAGGGGTTACAACCGAGATGGGAAAAGGCACAAGTAAAAATAAACTAATAAAAAAATTGAAACTTAAAAAAAAAAAAAGATGTTTCTGAGGGGCTCTCTCCTTTCTCCCACACTGATAATATTGCTCTTTCTCTCTGACTTGTTACTTCCTAAGATTACTTTAGGGAGGTTTTTTTCCTGTGCTAGAGTGGGACTACCACAAATGATCTTAGAAAACCTGAGTCTGATTCTCTTTGGCCAGGATTTCTTTTATATATATATATATATTAGTTTATTTTTACATATTTTTGTGCATTTTTCCATCTCACTTGCAATCCCCTTGGGTTTCCCATCACCAAATCACCCATGTGTAGGGCAGGGTTTCTTACTTGGCATTTTGGGCCAGATAATTCTTTGAAGTGGGGTCTGCCCTGTGCATTACAGGATGTTTAACAGTCCCCCTGATCTCTATTCATTGAAGGACAGTAGTATCTTCCAGCTACAACAACCAAAATATCTCCATACACTGCCAAATGTCCCTGGGGCTAGGGGTAATGACAGGGGCAGTAAGACTGCCCTTGGTTAAGAACCACAGTTTAGGGGAAGAAGCCTAGAATCTTATTAGGATAATTATATAAAGACAAAACTGTACCACAAGTCCCTGAGAGGCAAGGGAGGTATCTGGCAAGGAACTGATAAAAGCCTCACCTAAGTATCTGTCTATTTTTAAACCTGTAAGAATGCTGTAACATGTAAAGAAAGGTACAGGAGTTTGACGAGATCAGGCACGTTCAGGTCGGTATGGCCACTGACTTGTGACAGGAGTTTGAAAGCAAGGAGGAACACAGAAAAATTTGGTTTAACCCTCTTATTTTACAGAAGCATGTAGGAAAACCTCTGGAGGAGGAATCAATTGTCAGGCCACAGAATACTGGCAGACTCAAAAACTCCAGCCTGCTCTCGGCCTGGTGCTTTCCCACTGTGCCATATCATATCACTATCTCTGTAATTTTCTCCTTGGCTCTCGCACTCCACCTCCATATTGCAGGCAAGAAGTGTGAGTTGGATAGAAAAAAAAAAAGGCAGAAAAAGTACATATAACAAAATGATAGCTCCAAGGATCAACATACCCTGAAGACTGTTAGTCAGGGCAGAGGAGTGCCTCCTGGAAGGAAGGGACCCCGTAACAACAAAGCCAGTGGGCTTGGTCACTGCCACATGAGGCCAAAACCCAAACCCGACAATAGGGGAAAAGCTTTATAGAAACGAATCTCAAAGATATGTAAAGATAGTCTCTCCCTCTCAACTCCCATCTTGCTCCAAATATTACTCAGTAGCAGCTCTGGTCAGTTCTTTCCCTATTGGCCTTCTCCTCTACACAGCCTTAGATAAGAATGCAGTACACTCACCACCTGGCTGCTGACTCACAGAAGGCCTTGACGGGAGGCCTAAGGCCCATAAAGAAGGGAGCCACTCTGTGTGTGGCCAGCCCTGCAGTGTAAAATAATTTTGAAATCCAGAAAGACATACATTAATATACTAATGGGTGGTATCAGAGAAGAGGAGTTAGGGCTGATTTTATTTTCCAAAATTTTTGCAGTGATTCTATCACTCACATTATACTTTTTCTAACAGAGATTCATGGGTCCTACCTCTGAGATTCTGATTCAGTAGTTCTGGAAACTACTATAGACTGGTAAACCTACACTTTAAAAGAGATCCTTAGATGATTCAGGCCTGTCACTGTTGGTCCTTAAGAAGCACTAGTCTAGACCCCGCTAGTTTATGCTGGGACATTTTACTAGATAATGGAATTTACTATGTTGGTATTTCTGGAGAAAAATCTGGAGAAAAATTTATCTTTGGAATTCAGTAATTCTAGCATTGTTATGGACTGAATTATGTCCTCCCCAAATTCAGATCAAAGCGCTAACCCTAATGTGACTGTATGTGGAGATGGGGGCCTTCAAGGAGGTACTCAAAGTCAAATGAAGCTATAAGGGTGGGGCCCAAGCTACTACCACTTGTGTGTGTGGTGGGGAGTAACATTGAAGGTTTCTCTCTTTCTCCAAGTTAGGAAAGGCCATGTGTGGACAAAATGACAGTGATCTGCACCACAAGAGGAGAGGTTTCACCAGAAACCAACTGCACCTTAATCTTGAACTTCTAGCTTCCAAAATTATGAGAAAATGAATCAACCCATGATATTTCATTATGGCAGCCAAGCATACTAAAACAGACATTAATGAGGAACAGGAGTCAAACTAGGGCCTTTCTAACATTGCACAAATCAGGCAGCTGATTTGACTCTCAGCTGCCTGAGTGTCAAATCCAGAGGAATCATTCCTCAAACCAGGTGGGGTTACACACAGATTGTCCCCTGGGTTTTAGAATGTTTTACATTTAGGAAAGCATGCACTACATAGAAAATACATTAAGAAGAGCTATGTCACTTAAATGCATGGGTGTGCAGGAAGAATGTTTCTAAGATCTGGAGAGAAGGGCAGATGGCTAAGCTGGCATGGTCCCTGGCCTGGACTCCAAGCTGAGGGACATGGACTGGGAACCACATCAGTAACTATACAGCTGCGCTCACTGCATAAAGCAGATGTCCCACCCACTACTAATTGCAAACGGAGGTAGATAGGACGGTCTCACCTTTGATAACTCAACTTTAAGAAATAAAAATAGAAATGTGGACTTACATTTGTTCAGTTTTCTTGGGTAGCTTGCTGTTATCTGTGAAAGAGGACCACAAATTAAGAATGTGACAATATCACAGGGGATGCAAATACTTCACAAAGAAATTAGAATTTCTCAATTTCACTTGAAGGAGATGTGAAGCACTACATTTTTCTTTTAAGATACCACACAAGAACAAAAAACAGTAAATCCTAGCTTTTCTCAGTATGCTGGATCTTCATTCCTGACATGACCCATTTTAATAACCCACTCAGCATCACCATTAAACACCAGAGAAGATGTGCGGAATCTTAGGTTTTGAAATAATTTGTCTTTCTTTTAATCTTTTAACTAGAAATTATAAGTAAGCAGACTCAGGTCAGCCTCATTCTTCATCTCCTGAATTACCTGACTCAAGTCTATTTCTTTCAGAGCTTCCCAGTTTATAACACCCAGGAGAAATCCTAGTTTCTGATTTACTCTGTGGAAAATGTTGAGACCTTCACTCATTCTAGAGGTTCTTCTCCATGTCTCCTTGAATGCCTGTAGCTTCTGTCTAGTTCAGGAAGAACAGGCCTAGTCAGCTATTCTGGAAGGCCCAGGAGAATGGGGCCCGTCTCTGAACAGCTGCAGCTCTGGATACCTTTCTGCCATGGCCTTTCTTTACTCTCCTCACAGAAACACTCGGGCAGGCACCTGGCTGAGTCACCCTAACACCCACACTACAGCCCACGCCTTTTCCTATCTCTATCTTGAACTTTTCTTCTGACACAGAGTACATGGTCTTAACACATGATTAGACTTAATGTATGTTGGTATTTTTTCTTCCTGAAATACACTGTGAGAAATGTACTACGCATGTCAATTCTCCATCTACGATCAGAGAGGAAGTTGAAGACCTGTGACTTGAACATCGGGAGCTTCTGAGCAAACTAGCAAACTAATACTGCTAGTTTATGGGAAAGAAACTGTCTACATTTTTCTCTTAGGTAAGCTGATGAGAGGATGACTTACAAGGACTTACCCAAATAGGGACTGTGTGTAGCTCCAAAAAAGTATGTTCTTGAACAAGCAAGGGGCCCCTTTGGCGAGACACACTGTACCACCTGTATGTCAGAAAATAAAAAGGGAGCAGTAATCAAAGTGAAAAGTAAGTGCCATTCTCACAGGTGTGAGATAGTATCTCACTGTGTTTTTAACCTGCATCTTTCTTATTAGAAGTGGCAATGAACAGTTTTCATCTTTTGGACTTTTAGATATACTTTGGTGAACTATCTCTACATCTTTGCTGTCCATTTTTTTTTTACTTGAATTCTATGAGTTTTTAAAAATATGTATCTTGGATATTAATCCCTTATCAGTTACATATTGTGTAAATATTTTCTCTATAATCATCTTATATGTTCTTTTGCTGTACAGAAACTTTTAAACTTGAATTAATTTCAGTTGTTTTTTTTTAAATTCCATTGCCCTAGCAGTTGAGTCACCAAAAACATCTTAATCATTATCATGGGACACATCGTCAGTGTTTTCTTTGATGTATTTTATTGTTGCAGCTCTTGTATTTATATCTTTAATCCATTTGGAGTTTATTTTTGTGTCTAGGGTTAGCAACTGAGTCAATCTGGTCTATAAATTTTATTTTTAAAGATAACACATGCCTTTTGCAGCAACATGGATGGAGCAGGAAGGGATCATGTTTAGTAAGATAAATCAGAAAGAAAAAGAAAAATACCGGATGGTTTCACTCATAGCAGGAGCATGAAGGACCAGGGGG